CCAAGCTGAGTCTGAATTCTAGTTAGGTTCATTACATTCACATGCTAAGTACCCTTATGAAATAAGCTATGGGTTAAATAGTTGGACTTTTATCTGGAAAAATCCTTATTATTCTCTAAAAATTGTTCATGCAATATTCACTTGCAAAAAAAAAAAAAAATTATAAAAGCCTTCTCATACCACAATACCTTTCCTCTAAACTTAATTTGATAAGTATGTATTCACTATTGTATTTTTCATCTTCTAAGACACCTATGAAACTGAAATCTCAATTTATCACTCTGCTGAAACTGGGACTAAGTGCAGACAACCCATATGTCACTTGGATATTTTGAAAGGTGTTCTGAAAAGAGAACAACATTCTTTGAAGTGGAGGATCTCCTTCCCATTTGTCAAACTCCAACTGATTTGATAAATTCCCACATCTCAACCCTCCTCTTCAAAAAAAGATTTCTTGCAGACCATATCTTAACTGCAGTAACAACTTTATTGAATATGGAACAGAAAAGTTTATCACTCAACCCACTTCCCAAAATCCAAGTATTATTTATCACTGTAGCTGGAAAGAATGATCTTTTATTTTTTAAAGTGCTAATTTACAGGATCCTTATGCTTAATTTTTAATTTTCTTCTGACCATTGGCTAAACCATGTCAACAAAATATGTGGAATTTGCAGGAATTGAAGTTGTTATTCCTTCAGAAGAAAATTCCAAAGGTAATCCTTGAATATATAATGCAAACATTTGGTAACAATGGTGTGTCAACTTCCAGTGCAAAGCTTTTGAAAATCAAAGTGCAGTACAGAAAAGAACAACTAATGAAATTGAAATTGTTGATGACTTTCATGACCTAATATTAACCATCCTACCTCTGCCAAAAGAATTCTTGAGAAACTGGAGATATCTAACAAATGCATTTATGTACAGATGAGCATGCAGAAATTAGAAGTCAAATAAGTACTCAAATGTTCAAATGTCAACCAGATGCAATTTAGTGAATATCTCAACATTTATTTTGCAGTATTTTCAATGATCTCTTCATGATTTCTTTTCTTTTTTCTTTTTTTTTTTTTGGAATAACATGAAACCTGTTTATACTACTGTGATCCAGAGACCAAACAACAGTACATGTAGTGATGGCACTCAGGTTCTCTATAGTGTTAAAATTCAAGGTCTCAAAGTCAGCAGGAAAGGTCATGGCCATAGTTTTTTGGGATATAGCCAAGTAGTTAAAACAGAATAGAAATTTGAAAATTAATGTACCAATTGGGTTAAATTATATGAAATGAATATGTAGAATAGCATGTACTTTCCATGGATCTAAGTCATTCATTTTTGGGTAAGGTTGAGAACTTTTCAGTACACTTTTGAACTGCTAACTCCAGCTGGAGGTTGAGATCAAACCAGACACTAAATATCCTGCTTAGCTTATCCTCCATGAGTCCAACTGCAAACAGATTTATTATTAATTTTGGCTCCTGTCACAGTCCCATGCAATCTAATTTATTTGCCAACCTCTTTGTTGCTAGTTACAAGCATGCAGACGACAATAGCATAGATAGGATGTCTGACCAACATGATAGCACCAAGTAATTACACACAAGATTAGGTTTATTCTCAACTTGGAAAAGAAAGATTCAGCATGGATGCGCAAAAGTAAACAATCTTTTTCATTTGTTCAATTCCACCTTTGCTTCAGGTGTTACATACAGCAAGGGAATCCAGGATCCAAAAGTCCAGTTTGGTGACTTCTTTATTCCACTGTGCCATGTGTAATGCTACTACACAATATTAAGGACACTAGTTTTTCCATATGGGACACGTTCTTGCTCAAATCAAAAGACTGCATGGCGCTAAAAATAATTTTAGGGGAATACCTTGCTGCATATTTTTCTCTAGTTGGATTGTGTGTGTGTGTGCAGGGGTGGGGGAGTGGCAGGATTAAAATGTAATCATAAAACCTTCTCCTTTCCAAAATTTGTGCATATGAATAGCTGGTAGTTGGTCACTGTCAGCAAAAACAATGACCAACATGTTGGCACAGTGGAATAAAAAAAAAAAAAAGAAGTCACCAAACTGAACTTTTGGATCCTGGATATAGCTGAATTACATTAAATGATCATGTATACATAACAACATGTACATGGGTTTCAAAATGAGTGTCTCAACAGTACTCACATTCCATATCAATATACTATATATCCTATTTATGCATTAACACAGGCCTTTACTGTTGCATGCATATGATCATACAGATAGTAAATACCATCCTGCAGTAAATTATTCCATATATCTTGCACTTGTTAATGCAATACAGTAAAGTTGTTGGTGGGATAAATGAGTCTGGTGTTGTCTCATCATGGCCCATACATGTTTCTAGAATGGACAGGTTTGGTGATTGTGCCAACCAAAGAAGTTCATACATCTTGCAGAACATAGTGAACAGCACAAACATGATTAAGCATTATCCTGTTGGAACAATACACCACCTTCCTGTTGCAGGAATGGTAGCAGAAAGGGTAGATAGAACATGGTAGTTTTCATTATTCCTTTCAAAAATACCAAAGAAGAGTTGTAACATATGTTATGTCATATTGTGATGCCAGGGGTAGGGCCTGTATGTCCAGAGTAAATACACACTGGAAAATGTTACACTCCAGGTTGGTTACATGTACAAATAACCATCACTTTCATAATTGGGGGAGGGTTGCTCTCATCACTGAACACTGCAGAGTATCAGATAACCCTCTCATGACACCACTGGAGATATACACCACAGTGTTGCAAAAATCTGTCAAGAGGCAAATATGCAAATAAGCCATACCCAGCAATTTGTGTTGTCACACACATTTCTCTGAAATCTGCCATAGACACTCTGTGATCTTCCAATATTGATTCTGGTTGACATTGGTGCTACATGGTCATCAAGAACCTGGCATATGGATTTGAAAGCTGTTGTCAACATCAAAGCACTACTGACACATCATGTCCAGTATGAGCTGAAATTCATCAAAAACATCTATCTTCTTGAACACTTATAATCTGACATTCTCTCAATGCTCTAATAGAACTATGAATATCAGTAATATGACACCTACTTTCACTGGTCTCTGTCACACTGAACCTTATTGTAGTGTACATCACTGTCTAAACCTCGGAGACAGTGCAATAGTATAAGTATTATGATATCAAGAGATAGCCAAAGACTCTCTTGCATGTATATACAGAACCCAGGTCCAAATCAGCATTGACTTTTAGAGTGTTGCAATTTTATTTCCCATCTGTGTATTTACAAATAGGTTTAAAAAATTTTAGGGTATAAAGTTTCTCTTGGGAGATAAAAAATTGACGTCTTTATAAAAAAGGGAAGAGAACTTAAAAAAAATAGAAACCTGACAAAAGTGTATATATATATATATATATATATATATATATATATATATATATTTTTTTTTTTTTTTTTTTTTACACAATCTGAATGCAAGAAGAATTTGTTTTGGGACGATGAATTTATTTAATTTTCAGTATTATTTTGTGGAATATCTGATGAAATTGTATTAAAAATGTTAATATATATTAATATAAACCTATTGAGATACACTTATAAATATATTAATATATATTTCATTAATATAATCAAGTATATCTTGTGGAAGGTTTTCTCTATTTTCAGTAGGATTTATATCAGGAGTGACTTTAATTCTTTTCTAAATTTGCCATTAATATTTTGTGTAGTATAGAGTTCTATGCTTCATAAAAACAAAACTTGTTTCTATTTGACAACCATAAGTGAATATTGGGAATCCTTGAGCAAAATGTTTTTAAACTGATATTTTTCATGAATTTCAGAGACTTTAAGCAAGTCATGCTCCTATTCCATCCCTATCCACAGTTCAAAAATTGAATAAATTTATCTGAAAAGATAAAAATGTACTGAGTCTCCAATGATCTGTTTACCATCATAATTACTGCTTTGTCTGCTAAATGTTTGATATCTCTTTTCATTCTTGATTTGGGCATTATGCTACACTTTCTGTCTTAAAAGAACCCCCACACACACACCACCTTATTGCATGAAGACACTTCTGATAGTTCAGGTCAATTCAAACAAAACACTAGTTTCCTTCCCCTTATTAATGAATTGTATCTTCACACAGTTCCAATTTGAATTCCTAATCTTGATGCTATTTGACACTGCTTCATTCCAACATTAGGGTGGCCAAAATTATACTCCCTTTTTAAATCTGATAAATTTCATGTTTGGAGTATTAGGTTTTGTGAAATGATTAAGCAGCTCCTTTGTATTTTCTTTTATAGTGAATTGAATAATTGTCAATGAATATAACTTTATTAAATATTTATTTACTTGCATCATTGTGATTAATATTACCGAAATCACTCCGGTAATGTACATAATTAGATTGGTGTTTAAGTTAAGATTTGCACTTTTGAGTTGTTTTGTGTATGTTTGAAATTTTTTATTTTTATAATAATGGTCTTATTGTTTTGTGCTGTGCTTATGAAAGAAATTCTTTATTGGTTAAAAAATCCAGTCAGCAAATAAATTCTCTGATTTATAACTTAAAAATATTAGTGCAACTGGACTCGAAAACTTAATTGTAGTTATAATTGAATTATAGTCTTAAATTACTTGTATTATAGTTTATATTTTAATTTTCATAATATATCTCAATATAAAAATTATTTAAATATAGTTCCTGAGATGTAAGCTTATCCTTGTCGTATATGCTATTTTTTATATTAATGCTTCAATATCTTAGCAACTAAAATTATAATGTTGATATCAGTCATTGATTATTAAATAAAGTAAATCATGATCACATGACCCAATCAGCCATCATACATTTATGTATTACCATTTTCAAAATGTGCATATTTGAATGTCATCTTTTTGTTTTTTTAATACATTAAAAAATCATCTTAGCAAAACTTATAGTTTACTTAATGTATTTTTGTATCTTTTTTAAATTCTTTTTCAGGTCCCCTAATCTTTCAAGGCCACTATCTATGGATATGTCAGAATGGAATCCATTTGGAGAGGATAATTTTAGTTCATATACAGAGGATATTATCTTTGGGAAAGAATTTGATAAAATTCGAAGAGGTTCCAATAGCAGTAAGTAAAAATGACATCTTGAAAATTCCAATCATACTACAAAGTAACAAATAAACTTTATATTAACTATCCAAGTAATGACTAAATCAAATGTCAATTTAAATATAGTATTTTATAATATCATTTGTAAGTGTAGCAATTATAATCAGTCTTTTATAAATAAAATGTTGAGTAGTTTATAAAAGTGGACAGCATATTGGTCTCACAGGCTACTGATAGTAAACTTCATAATGACTGAATTTGCTTAAAAAATGTGTCATTCTATTAGTTTTGACTTAAAATACACTAATATCAATGTAGATATTAATTTATTACTTATTTTATCATAATTATTCAGTGAAAATATAATTGCAATGTAGAAACAGTTGCATTCGTGAGACATCTACGAACATAAGAGAGAATTACACTGGGGCAACCCTTTCCTTTTCTCCATATGTCATTCCCTGATGAAGCTTTTCCTTTCATTCTTTTCCTCTCCCTCCTTGTCTTTTCAAATCCTCATAGAAGTTAATAAGCATAAATTTGATTGTCATTTGACCAGTTCAATATCTTGCTCATTCTTTTCAAAATGTTGTCAGAAGTAACAGACATCAATATCTTGGAGGTACTGTCATTTTTCCCTCCCTTTCTGCTCTCTTTCTATAAGACTGATAAAATTGTCATTGTATTGTAGGTATATCAAATGTGAAAAGCAGAGAAGATTTGGTCATGTCTGGCTCGGATTCTTCAGATCCTTTCTCCAATGCACCTTTCAAGAAACCAGGTAAGTGGCTTGTTCTTTTTGGATCCTCCTTTTTTTTTCTTTTTTCTTCCCCTCCTCCCATCTCCCCCTACCCTCCAACCTTGTGTATTTGTTGCTGCCTTATCATCTTTGCATGATGCTCCTCTCCTCAGTGACAGTGTGTTTCAGCAATGTGCTTGGAACCTTACACTTAGCAATATCTCTGCATCTGTCTTGGAGAGTCAAATTGTCCAGATCATCATCTTCAGACACCCTCTCTCTCACACACACACACACACACACACTATGGTCATCCCCATAAGAACACAAAAACGGAAATGATTGTGTAAAAGATACAAAGTACCAGCACCAAATCTAAGAAAATCCAATATCTCATTGAATTTAATCCATTGTATTTAATTACTAGACACATTTCTTTATATTGCAGGAAGAGTATGCAGAAGGAAGCAATCCTGTAGCTTAAGTTGCTTTCCTTGTATGTCTATATTCTCCTGATCATCAATGCTATAAAAAGACACTGATAAATCCAGCATAATGTTATTTTCTTCCACAAACAATAGATTAACATTAATCTTGTCTTCTACCATTATCAGAAAATCCCAAACCACTGGAGTAATATTATTTCTGTGTAAGAAAGGATTGTGAACTTCTCTGAGAATCCTGAGCAGATTTCAGCTAAACTTTGTGTATTTACCCACAAGTTGCCCTCATTTCAAGGATTGATCTCAGAAAATGTTGGGTCATGTTTTAGAAAATTAAGCATGATATCAGGAAAGTTAAATATGCTTGAATAACAAAACATAAAGTTAAACTTTAGTTTTGTCTTTTTATACAGTTTTACGATTTAAAATTTGCTAACATTGTAACCCAATATGAAGTTCTCTATAATAGTTCCAGTGCCAATGTATAGAAATGAGCACAAGTATGTATGGACCCAAAATAAAACAATGGAGATTCCCTACAGACTAAGTAGCATCATTGAAAAGCAAGAATTAGTCACAGCAATGTGCAAAACTGTGAAAACTATGTACACATTTCACAAAGGGGGACATTAGTTAATATTGTCTGTTACTTAACATGTAAAGTAGCAAAAATGTTAATGTCCTTTTGGCACTAAATATGTTAATAATCATATTGAAAATATACAATCATGCACACACATTATCATTGATCCTTATAGATGAGCTGTTTTTCTAGTATTCACTTGTGCTCTTGTGGATCATGAATGTTGCTTTGAAATTTTATGTAATTTTTCTTCTGTATATTTTTTCATTATTATTGTTGTTGTTGACTTGTCAATGGCTAAATCATGCCTGTATGGTCAATTATAGTGCAGAATTACTGATCACATGTAGTAGTGGATTTTATTTTGATTGTACAGCATAACATTTAATTACAACATGGCAACTTGGTTTTAATTTATTTAAGAGTGATCTAGTTTTACCAGAGCTAAAATAAATTTTAAGATTATTACTTACCTTTGTCAGATTCATTTTAATATTAAAAAAAATCTAAGAAAATATAATTGATAAAATGTTTAAATTTATCTTTTTTTTAAAAAAAAAAAAAAGGGAAAGAACTTGACATTTTAATGCTTATTTTAAAGTGTGTGGCTAAAATATTCATTCAGTTTATTAAGTAAAAAATAAAATCTATACTGCTTTCAAGTTTGACTTTATGGAACGTATTTTCCATTTTATTCTATCATCTGCCATCTTTCAGGCGACTTCATAATTCCGTTCTCCAAGAACTTTTTATCTTTTTTCAATAAATAATTACTCTAGATGTCTTTTGCAATTTTTCAGAGAAATGAACTTTGTTTTTCTTCCTGAAGACAGTTCTATAAAATGTTTTTTCTAAATGTATTAAAATCAAAAGCTGCAATATCTGGTGACTATGGCAGGTGTATGAAAATTTTCCAATTAAGCTGTAAGAAATTTTTACTTGATCACCAAAGAAACATGTGGTATATGATTTTCTTGATAGAATATTATGTCTTTACTCTTAACTAATTCTAGACTTCTGCTTTTTGTCAATTACTGACTTTGGTTTAAGTGGAAGCAATACTTGTTCAAATTAATCATTTGATATAGTTATCACCTACTTTGAATGAGGACCAGCCTTTGGGACAGTTAGTGACGGGTCATTTCACTTGCTTTGCAATGACTTGCATTTCAAATCGTCATAAAGTATCCAATTTTTATTGCCTCTTACAATTTGTTTCCAAAACAGAACTTTTCTTTGTTTAAGCAGCAAATTACACACAGAAATGTGGTCCGCTACTTTTTGTTTATGTGGAAGGCACACATCAAAGCAACTAACATAAGCAAGATGGTGCAAGTGAGTTTCAATGCTTGATTTTGACATTTTGAGTATGTTTCTTATGCCCTGCATTGTATAATGTTGATTATTCTTAAGTAATGTCTTCATTTGATTGCTATCAACCTCAACTGGTATGCCTGACTGTTGAGAATCCTTCAGTGAGAAGTCTCCAATATTAATCTTCACATAACCACTTTTAACACGTTTGATCATTCACAGTACCTTCACTATAAACTGCACAAATCTTCTTGTATGTGTATGGGTGCTTGAATCACATTTTTACCTTAAAATAAATGTATAATATGCCAAAAATATTATTTTCTCCTATTTTCAATATTGTAATTGATAAACAAAAATACATCAGTTTGGGTTTTTTTTTTTTTTTTTTTTATGCTTGTTCATAGGACAGCTATCACAATACAATCAAATGTGATTTTTTTTTCTTTAAAAAAGTTCAAACCAGATTCATTTAATGCCATCTAACAAAAACAGAATGAACTTTTTAGCCACACAAAAATCAATCATAGAAATTTAATTATTCTACATTTAAAAATTATTTTTGATCTTCTGAAGTTTTAGTTTTGCATATATTAACAAAATTGTCTATGTGATCCTATGCATTTATGGTTATTTTTATCTTTTATGAAAAGATGTAAAAGGAATTGAGGATATTTTATTATTTATTCCTGAACTTTTCACTTAAGGAATATTAATACTATTAGCATTATCCTCCATATTTATACATCTATATAGGATTTTTTTTTTCTATCACTGAAGTGAAAAATTATTCTATTGGGTTGGGGGGAAAACGTAGCAATTTTCAATAGGTGACATTTAAACATGTGATTTCCGTTAACACATGACTGAAATTTATTATATACATTCTGAAAGGTGACATTTCAACACGTTTTTCTAAATGATTCGTGTGTGGATTGTAAATTTTAAATGTTTTTATGTTGTAAGTGAAAATAGAGGAAAATGAGATGCATTTTCATCATTTAGTGTTTTTTTTTTATTTCTGGAAAGGAAAATCAATGTACACACAGAAAAAAAGATGTGCTATTTATGGAGATGGTGCCATAGCTGTTTGTAAGTGGTTTGCTAGGTTCAGGAGTAGAAATTTGATCTGTAAAAAAACTTCTAGCAGACCTGCAGTCATTAGTAATGACCAAATTGAAATACTGATTAAAAATAATTCAGCTCACAACACAGGACATCAGAGATGCTCTACATATCTTGTATGAGTAATGAAAAGCATATGAAAACACTTTGGTACATGAATCACTATGATGTTTGGGTACCTCATGATTTAATGGAATGCATTTCCATTTGCAATTCTCTGCTCAAACACAATAAAAAACAAACTATTTTGTTATAAAGAATAATCATAGGCAATGAAAAACAGATTGTTTACAACAATGGGAAGTGTAAAAAAAAATCATGTGATGCTGTATATCTGGTGGGAATAGAAAGGTATTGTGCATTACAAGCTTGATTCACAAAATCAGATTAAAATCAGTTTAATACTATTCCCAAATGGACCAATTACAGGCAGAAATCAATGAAAAGCATCCAGAATTGGCCAATGAGAAAAGTGTCTGCTTCCATCAAGACAATGCTAGGCCTTGCATCTCTATGCAAACTCAGTAGAAATTGGTACAGTGTGGCTGGGATATCCTACTGCACCTGCCATGCTCCCCATGATTTTACACCTTCAGATTATCACTTATTTCAATCCATACAAAATTCTCTTAATGAGAAGAATTTCAATTCTCTGGAAGCCTATAAATAAACACTGACTAGTTCACCACTCAGAAAGATGCCAAGTTCTAGAAGGATGGAATCATGAAGCTGCCTCAATGGTGGAAAAAAGTAGTGGAGCAAAATGGCATATATGTGATTGAATAAATTTATTTACAAATATATAAATATTATC